CAACCCAAATATCCAGTCGACAGGAGATCGCGTGTCGAGCTTCTAGAGATTTATTAATGAGCTTTTTATAAATACAAAGATCGGTTTGTTTATACAAAACGCTCCTGGTGCCCATTCTCGAAACTAAACATCTTGAAGCATTACCATACCATATCATACTAGTACTTCTCACTGCAGTTTCTAATACTATACAGCACTGCACAGTGTAGGCACTCACATTGACAGGACCACACATACTTGTCTGAGGACAAACTGATACTATTGTATACAGCCGCGAGTTACGGGACATATGACCTTTTGTATTACACTTATCCATAACTGGCGTCACATAATAATGTCACCAGATCTTTTAATACCAATAAAAAATACAAGTGAAGTCGACAAAATAGTTATTTGTTCCATTTATATTTTACTTAGATTTAAGTATTTGAAATATCAAATTGAGTAACAAATGCTGCACAACAAGCTGACGATGACTCAACAATTGTCTCTGACGAGAGAAGTGACGGGACGAGCGTGACGACGGCACTCGTCAGTCACCGGTCGTTAGCTGCAACATCAGACATTGATCAAACTATCATTAACAATTAGTTCCCGCAATTATTTCTAGATAAACAGTTACTGGAGAAACCGATGTTTTTGTCACAGAACTTATTCTTTCTTGGATGGCAACATCAACGGATAGCAGAGAACTTTAATTAGATCTCGATGAAGATTTCCAGAAGATTATTGTTTAATGTTCGAGTCTGTTTTTAATGCGCTGTTCTATGAGTTTTAAGCAGGTATCAGCATGTCCAATTTTGAAGAATCAATTAAATATATATTTACGTATGTGATGGTTTTAATCTTTTCCCGTACAGAATTGCTGAGACGTCAAACACAAATTGACAACTAAAGAAGATACTTACGTTAAACTAATAAGTTATTTGTGATCAATAATAAACGGAAACTGTATTAATGTTGTTGAGAAGTGCAATCATTATCATTATCTATTAGAGGGAAACTTGCTGCAGTATGTAGTGGAGCACGCGTGTACTGTTCCACTTACAATCTGTGTCATACTTTACGTGATCACACGACATGTGATTACAAATCTAATTTTAAGAATATTGCTTTGCGAAAATTATTAAAATAATTGCACTAAGACATTACTCGAAACTGTCGATCCATATAAATAAACATGAGCCATTTCACTACTACCTTCAAAAAATCACAAAGCACCACTCTATAGAGTTCGCACATACAACTAAGACTTATGAACTGTCACACTGAAGTCAAGACGAGATAAAGTCACAACAAACAACATTCTACACGAACTAGGCTTAGCAAGACTTTTGTGACTGTACAGAGTATACATTTCTTAAACCGCAGCTGAGCTCGAGTCTCAGGCGAAGTTTTCAAGTGCTTCCACTAAGCGGCATCGACTGCAGCTCTGCCTAGACAACAAATACATCCTCCTCGCATCTCTAGTGTTATACGTTGTAACTTCACTCCAAAAGAAAAAGTTCCCGTCAGAAACTAACGAATAGATCCGCATAAATCTCAGCAGATTCATCTGTGAGAAACAAGTGTTAAACTGATATTGAATGGTCTTTGTAAGTTTTCTATATCTGTAAAGGATTTCAGATTGTAAAACAGTTGAATTGAATCTATTTTCCTAAAATTATAATATACGCATGTAATGTGTTTTTCAGATTTTATGAGTAAAGTCATTATATATTCAGGTGTATCTTAAGAACGTAAACAAGAAATGTATGCGTGTAAGCAATACAATAATGTATGCGTACTCCACAAATGAGTAGGACATTTAATATTAAAATGCTGAACAAAGAAACTACTCGGCACGTATCTTATCCGGCTAGCACAGTTCATTTGCTTCCACAGCGGTTTGTGCAGACTTGTGGAAATGTTCGGATCTATTTATTTTTAGCTCTTCGCGATCCACCCGATATCACATTGGAACATAATACACACAGTGCTCGTCACTGTCATCTTGTCTGCATTCTCTGAACTCAGAACCAGGACGTTCTCTGAGCGCTTTTATTCATATTCTCCATACGAGTGTAACTTTAGCTATCTGCGTAACATTGTCGATCTAGTATAGCAGACAAGATGTTGGAGTGATCTGGGGCGCGTGTCGCGTGTCGCGCCTCACAGTTTGAAGTCTGTGTACGGGAACACCTAAAGTGCAATTTCCTTCCGATGTGTACGCGGCTGCGGGATGATAACGACACGCGACGCCTCTGAGGCACTGCCTAGGGAATTTTATCGCTTTCAATATCGTAAAAATTGTTTAATATTACCTCCTTGTTTGGGAGTGAGCTTGAAGTTTTAATATGACAATCAACGCATGTATGTAACAAATTCTGTTGTTATTGACGCTTAGAAACGATTAACTCACTGTAAAGACATGGATAAACTAAGCGGACTAAAGGCCTTCTTAGTGCGCTAACAGTATGATATATGTGAGCGTCATATATGTGAAACAAGACAATGGCATCACATTTAACATTGCTAATAGTCCTGCTTATACCCTAGCAGTATGATGGAGCATGCGCATTAATGTGGACGCACGTCTGCATCTGTCTAGCAACACGTCGCGTCTCTATTCTACATGCATTTGTGAGTACTAGGGGAATGCTAAACTGTGCTAAGGACGGGAGAGACACGACATGACTTAGACTAATACCTACGTTTTAAAGAGTGGTAGATTCCAATTATTATTTATTTATGTTGTAAGGAATTACACATCCAATACTCTTCCAAGAAATTGTATACGTTGGTCATGTGCTCATGCCACAAACGAGTATTCAAAATTTGAAGGACCACATTTCCGAAAGTACCGCATGTAATTCCTAGGAGTGTGGTAGCGATGCGGTGGCTCGTGATATCACTTATTCATATCCTTCAATATATTATGATTCCGCCGAGGGGACTGTTGTCGAAGCTCACTGAGCACAGTTTTATCCCACATGACCCCGAACTTGACGCGATCCACACACACACACTTGAAAGTCGTACGTTCGTCGCGTGTCCGTACTTTCTCCGGTACTTTCAAAGTATCGGCTGTCCGCTACCTCGTAGATCATTCTGCAGTACTTGCAATTATCTGCTGCACGTGACCCAGTAGCAACATAACACGACTCTCTACCAAAATATAGATATAATGAAGTTATATATGGATGTATGGAAACCCATTTACATTATTCAAAAAATTATATTGACATTTTAATTTTTTGTGCTGTTTTACGTTCATTGATCCTTTTGAAACCTCACTATATCTAAACGAAAACAACGAAGTATTGACATTTAAATTCAACGCAAGTCAAAAGTACCTAAACCTCGCTGACACGGAAGCATAATTGAAAATTCCCGAGCGGTGTCAGGAGCTCAGAAGCTCATGTTATTGTTGCGATACGATCAGCTCCCGGAGTTGTGAGCCTTAGCGTTAGACTACAGCTTCAAATAACAACAACAGTGGGTTAGACGCCGCGACGTTGAGACCGGAGACCCATCATGGCGTATATCGAGAGAGCAGCACGTGGCGTGGTGTGGCGAGTGTCAAGTTAACCAAAGCCGACGTAAACTTCACACGAGGTGTCACTAACCCGATTCCACATTGTACTCTGTGAAATGTTACACTTTATGATGCTCGAAATAGTTTTTGGGGACTCCTGGGGGCTTAGACAAAGTAACAATTTAAAAACGATAACGAAGTTAGTTAAGACTAAAATGTATGGGATTGACATAGGCCGCGTTAAGTCACGTGGTCAATCGACATCGTTATCGCAATTTGGTAGACAATGTTATATTTCATAACGAAACTATAAAGTAACGAATCGTTATCGTGTTTATTCCATACAAATGCGTAGACAAGCAGACGTTTCAGTGTTCGCCAACGCCTCGATCGTGATCGCCAAAAACGATAACGAAACGAATGCTAAAAGGTTGTAGTTATTGAAACAATATGGCCGAATTTCATTATTGATCCTGTTATTATTTATTTTGTGTTAGAGGCAATACACTAATACAGATCAAATAGATTTAAAAATGCATTCTCTGCGTTTATTGTGGGCTGCACACAATGAGACCGCCTGGGAGAGACGCCAAAAATGGTTAAGACAGCGACGGTTCAATATAGGTACTTCATTGTTAAGATCGCGTCATTGTTTACATTACATACTCATGAATGAAACTTAGATTTACTTACGTTTCCATATACTCGAGCAGCGTTGCGAATTGTTCAGGACTTGCTCGCACTCTTGATTCCATGTTTTATCACTAAATATTAAAATAGATAAGAAATAGAGAGAGATCCATCATCGTTTGAACACCAGTCACTTATAAAAATGAGTCTATTTTGATTATCATTAAGTTTTGGAAACGATCTAAAAGTAATAACACTCTATTCACTTACGACTGTAAAATTATCGTTTATATTTAACTTAAAAAAAATTAAACGCAACACTCACTTTCTTATTAATAAAGTTTTAAAACATCAATATCTCGCGAGTTTGATCCGATTTGAACATTTTGACTGTCACTGACAGCTGGATTTTCGATACCATAACCAATATTTTTGTTTTTTGCCGAATAAAGATTTCGACACAACGATCACGACCATAGTGTTACATTGGCTAGGAAATGTTTATCGTTATCTCAGAGACGATTGCGAATTTACTTTTCGTTTCGCTATTAAGCGATGTTACTTTGTCTAAGGACCCTGTTGTTACGGAAACTATTTTATTGAAAAAAGGTGGGGTCAAATCTGTTGACGACCTCCGTGAGATGTCCGATAGAGGTACAAAAATACCAGACAGATTAAGTATTGAATTGAATTATATTTTTGTTCACTAGGTACTGGTAAAACACTTTTTTAAACATTAAAATTATTTTCGGATTAACCTAATTACACACCCAGAACGCCCCCTGGTAGAATCAGAAAGTAAGAGCAGTTATTGGCAGTAAGTAGTAAGTTAGTGGTTCCTAGTGAGACTGACCTGTTCGGGCGTGTCGGTCTGGAAGGCGTGGCAGTAGTGGTGCGGCGGCTCGGAGCGCGGCTCGCGCGCCACCAGCGCAAACAGCGCGCGCGCTGCCTCACACGTCGCGTACGAGATGCGACGCAGCGCGTGGACCATGCGCACGCTCTGTTGCACACACAAAATTACTTTTTTATTACGAATCATTGTAATTCAATGAATATCACTTCAGATTGACATAAAATTAGACTTATCTGTCTTGGAAAAATGAATATTTAAATATACAATTGAAGTAATAGTAAATCAACATGATGTATGTATATGTATGTGTTACCTGGTCGTCGGGGTCGCATACTTTGACGCCCGAGAGAGCGACCACCACCAGCACCGGGACCGCACGCCCGTTCTCCTGGAACAAACGAAACGTCTTTATACATTTATTAACATGTCACATAACAAAAGATGCACATTATGGAATGTAACAGCTACTTCCAACAGTTCTGTTAAGAGACACAGGTAATGAAGATGAGCTTATTTTCGTGCTTCATCTTGTTACTGAGTAGTAGGTATTATCTGAAAACTGAATAGTTCAATAATACTGAGTTCGACAAGAAAGTCGAAATTGAGACCCCTCGCCTTGCTCGGAACTCGCTCATCGACCGATGAGTCTTACAAACCAGGATTCACTCAAAAAGCCATACCAAAATATTATGTCACTATCAAAATAACAATAAAAGGATCATGAGTACTTAGTTCCATTATAACGCTCCTATATAGTCGGACCACATTGTTGGCTCTCTTTAGGTTAATAGAACATTAGCGGAGTCCGCGGTAAGTGCGGTGCTCGTGGCGGTAGCGACTAATAATATTAAATGGCGCCATAAACAAATTGTCGGCGAGTAACACAAAATATTATCCGCTGTAATCTAATGAATGATCCTCACGTTAGACTGTTGTGACAAATAAAATATTCACTTACATACTTTATATTAGCTACTTGAATACATTTAAAACAGTTGACATTACGGTGTACAGTCCATATCGACATTGTAACTTAAACAGTACCCGCCTCAGTAAGTAAGACGTTTTGAACATTATAGAGTCCTAGTTTCCCTGGAGGTGTGTTACCCTTGGTTTGATGCACGCGTGTTAACTCAACAGTTTCGAAACAAGTTGATTTACGCAACAACATTTATTTGAGGGAGAGTGTAGCCTAGGCGCAATGGTGATTGTGAGAGAGGCGCGGGGGCGAGGGCGCAGGGCGGGACTGTCCCGGCGGCTCTCATTAGGTATTTTAATTAAGACGGGCAGCCGCAAGCTGTAGCGGCCACTATCTACCTGCTACACACTACATCTTTGTCAACCGATATTAAATTTTGCGCAAATTCTTCACCTGAAATTGTTTACGGAATCAGTGAACCCTAGGCTTGCCTTCTATACAGACAGGTCTACTGTAACTTTAAACGTTCTATTGTAACTTTGTAAGGAGTTGATTACCCCCAGTATCTGTCAACATCGGAATAAATTGGAAACATAATGGAGAGGCAACTGAACAGAAGAAATAGAATTTCTATTAAAAAAAACATTCTTCTAAAGATATCACATGGTGGCAAAGACAAACAGGCAGACGAAGATTTTGAACTCTACATATATGTACAATTGTATATAATTATAGTAGGGTAGTAGCTAATTACGTAGCGTGAAGCGAAATAAAGACATCGGCGTCTTAATAGTTTCTTTATACAGGGATTTTCGCGTGAGAAACTAAAACAGCGAGTTATCAGTCCGCGGTCACAAGTACCGGCCGCTGTACAGGAGCACGGTGTACATTGTAAAGTGTTGGAGCCATTAGTATGTAGTAGCTGAAAGTTTTAATGCGAGCCGTGAACTGTTCTCACTGAGCTAATAACAGTTACACTAACTGACTTAAAGCACACTTGTTTTAAATTTCGATCTCGTTACCTCGCGCTTTGAGGAAACACGAGGGAATCCAAATAGTGGAGGGAGAGGCGCGTGGCCGCGTGTCTCATGTACGCTAATGTAATGTGCAACCACTGAGCTGATTGTCTTACCACCACTTAGCACTACACACCTAACTGACTCACTTGATCTCCAAATTCCTTTAAAGATTACGTAAAAAGAGCCAAAGCCACCGCGCGCAAAACTACACAGCGCGCCCTCTCCTGCTCACATACAAAATACATTTGCGGTCTCTTTATTGAGTACTCTTTGATGGCAGTTTGTCGAGCACAGCTGCGTCCTCCCTGTACTCTCCACTAACACACTTTCCACTGACAAAGCAAATGAGCGATATCGCCAGGTGAAGGCTCTCACTTCACCGTAACGCGGTGTCATGTATATTTTATTCACGGCTGTTTTTAATCAGGTCACAATTTTTATATTCATCGCTAGCGAGCGATGTAAAGGGTCCCGCAGGAAAGCCTCGCGCTATTCGTCGTGTGATGGTAGGGTGGCGGCAGTTTGTATGTAAATGGTGAATTATTCGTGGTGCGGCTTATTGCGACCTTGGCGCTACGTGTTAGTGCCGCGCTCAGCTGCCGAACATAGACAGGAGCAAGCTCTCAATGTATGTGCGTCACTGTACAGCTATGCCTAGAAGTTTCAGAATCTTCAGTTTCTATGATAACTCTGTTTCCTACAAACTGTCCTTCGGCATATAACTCCCTTGTGGCACCGACGGCTGGCTGCTGATGACGTCGTCGCTCGCTCGCTCCGATGAGCACGTGAACTTGATTGTTCCGATAATAACATACAGAACGGTTCACTGTTTCCTCTGATTCCTTAACATTAACGGTTCCGAAGCCTTTGACATTTACTCCGCCCCCAACAATGGGAGCACGGAGTATTTCTTTTATGAACCTATATTTTTCGTCACGAAAAATATGTTTGTGTAACAAAAAGTTTCCCAGCGCACATGTCACACATACTTTTATTAATTTATTAACTTTTCCACGTTGTTTGTCCAGCTGTCATGAACTACACTTGCGTCAACGCACATTATTTGCATTTTTGATGAATGACCAACTGGTTTTAAATCAATTTAGCAGCGTAACGTATAATCTTCATTATCACACACTCGTTCCGTCTCCGTGTCCATCATACGGGAGCTGATACCACAAACATGTGCCAATGATGTCTGTTATTTTCTGTACATAGTCATTTCAATTTACATATATAGAGGTATTGATTGAAATTAAGTGATAGCATTGATTTATAATTATTGCGTTGAATAAAAAAAAAAATATATTGAAAAAGGTTCAGTAAAAAACCTAACAAAACGACCCCATACCATCGACACAAGATTAGACATAACGTAACGATTTCAGTTCGTGTTCATCATTCAACTAACTTCTGCCGGCAAGGTTAATTCCGTGATTTAGTACAGGTCTGTGGCGGCAGAGGGCGGCACACGGGGGGGGCATTGGGGAGTGTGACAATCATCCCGCACACCGCTCCGAGTGAACAGCGGCCGCTATTACCAGGATCGCAGCACACGATGTTATGATCGCCTCATTACGTCCGCCGACATTTTTCCCGCACAATTGTCAGATTTCTCTCGAATAACGTGTCAACTGTTATGTTCCCCTACTCCCAGTACCTAGCGGCCTTTTATGACTCCTTAAATTTTTCATATGAAAGATAACTTTATCGAGGTTTATGGAGACAGATATTTTAACAAAAAAAAATGAAATAGGCGAGGACCTTAACGATCCTTCTTGGTCACGGATCTCTTATAAAGATATTTTTTGAACAAATCTCATTTGCTCCCAACAGAATCGTTAGTTCGTTTACTTAGTTATTTTATAAAGCAGCTGTACTAACTGCCCAATTAATCTCGGCTTCTAGTGCTCACCAAAAGTAAAGTGAAATATAAAGCGGCTGAGATGTGGCGGGCCGCGGGTACTGCGGGTGCCGGGGTACAGAGCGCACTACTGGGACTACTCTCAGCCTCTACACAATAACAGCCTTCCCGAGCTGAGTTATAGCACCGCGCCGCCCGCCACCGCCCGCCGCCGCCCGCCGCCGGCCGAGCCATGAGAAACGTGCGGACTTTATTCAAACTGCTCTTTATTCAATTAAAGCCTTGACAAATTACCTTTTATTGTACCTACTTCAAAACTGACTGAAGTTTGTCTGCTTGTACTACACCTGCAGGAACACATTCTTCGACTTGGGTTTACCAGTGGACACTTTAGAACTACTCTTTTGGATTAAATATTATGTCAATCTAAACTAACTTTTCTTGACTTTATGTGTTGGTACATTGAATTAGTTCAGGGATATTTTGTGAACTTTAATATTTTCCCTGCTCGATTGTCTCTTGCCATGCGACCGTGTACCCGGTATGATTCTGCTACAATCTCATTTCCGCTCCCCGCTCCAGCCTCAAGCATGGATATAATAGTGCAGATCCATTAGCGCGGAGCTAGCAGTCGAGCACCGATACCTACCAGTTTACGAGGCCTCGCTGAGCAGCACATAATATTACACACAGACAGACAAACAGACACACGCGTCACAACTTACTAACATTGCCGCCATAACAACGACTTGTCTACAACATTATTCGGTTTTAGACACGTGCGTCGTCTGTCAAAAGTGTATCGGCGTTTTGGAAAAGGTATTCATGCCACTCATTATGTATATGTGACGATCGTCGAGTAAACGATCGATAGGTATATAACCTAGAGGTTCAAGACGAAGAGAAATGAGGCACGAACTGTTAGGACCGTAATAATAATGCTTACTACATCGCTGACTTGCAGTCTTGCAAAACTGCATTCATTTACGTCATACACTAAATTCTACATCAACAATTATTTGATATAAACCTTATTATTTCCTAATTCAGTGCAGTTTTAGTTTAGGCTCCGGTTCTGATATAATCGTCATCTTCGGATCTAGTCCAACTTGTTAGTTTTCAGCCCAAATTCCTGAACTAGACCGGGTCGACATAGCCTTTCATTAGGGCAACCGCGCACGTGAGTGTAGTCCAGGACACTCTATACTGTAGTACACTAGTCCATAAACTAAGTTAAAAGTGTGTGATCATAACTTTAATAAAGTAAACTCAAATGAGGTTTTTCTCAATACTGCCGAGTCTCCCAGAGTTATAGAACCTTTTGCATAATAATATACTACTCACTAAGGGCAAACATTTAGAAATGAATTATTATTGAAATCAGGTTTATTCTGCTTTCTCTTTCCCAAAGATCATCCAAAAAATATATTACTTTAAAAACAATGTACGAGCTTTGAGATTGAGTATTTAATTGTTTTATCAAGTGGCTCTATAGAAATCATGGCAGCGCTCCAGCCAGTCAATGCTCGCAACATGGGGACCTCTCACTAAGTATTTGCTCGCAGTCGAGAGTATAACAATTGCCT